GTGGGGAAGGGGGCGGGGAGTTACCATAAAAGGAAATGATTTTTAAAAATGAAAGCGTGTCATTGCTTTTAAAACAGATCCGTAATTCAGTCGAAAGCGCACACGTGGGGATCCTTTAGAAGACTTGATTGCGTCCGCATTAGATTTATTTCGCATCCCATTTATTCCTTTGAATACCGCACTTCACGTTATCCTGTCAAGTGCATTTTCAAGCAATTTTAATACGAATTTCCCTCTACCTCTTAATCGCAATAGACCCAGACACGACATGTAAATCAGCTGGAATTCAAGATTGTATTACCATATTATTTGCATTGGACAGACATAATTAAAACAGGGCAGAAAAACATACACTGTGTATGTTATTTGGATGGTAATCGTTTACAAAGCCGTCTTTTAAATAAGTTAAAACACCATCTTTATTTGTTAAGTAACCTTCAACTAGGATCCGTTTCAGTTGCCCCTCATCGTTCAATTTATTATATGACTAACTGTGCCCGCGACTTCATCTGTGTAGAATAGTTATTTTGGGCATCAAATTATTTATTTTTGCAAACCACGTCACCTGCGTCCCGTTGCGTCGATCTTGCGAGTTAATCTTAAAAGATATACTGTCCAATCAACACTAAAATAATTCTTCATTCTTTCCGTATCAGTTCCTGAGATAAACGCGTTCAAACAAACAGACTCTTCAGCTTTCTAATATTAGTATAGAATTCCAGAAGCAATTAAATACTATGTTCGTCATATTTTTAAATTCTTAGCTTAGCCTTGTAACGTATTCATTTTCGTTTCTCTCAAAAAATAAAGAAACTATCGCTATGTTAATATTTTTTCTAAATTCCCAGTTAAACGCAATCGCTTACAAATCTCGATATTGGATTCCTACTGAGTGAATTTATTGCGATGCAGGTCTATTCCGACCCGATACCGACTCGTAACTTCTTATATCCTTTTAGTTATATGGCTGTTTTATTAAACTACATAAAATATTGAATCCTGTTTGCGCGAACGAAATAAAACGCGTTCAGAACAATGTTGCGTTCCTTATTAAAATGTTGGGGAGTAAAGGGAAACGGAACAACATCTTACAACAAAAGTCCACTTCACCTTCACCCGCTTTGTGGCGACGGTATAGTTTATCGTGGTCCATCCTGCTAGGAAACGAATAATAACGACACATAGTGCTATAACCACATTCCTGATTCGCTAACGGATCTAAAGAGGCTGGAGCGGCCTTGGGTGGAAGGAAACCCTAAAACGCCTGGTGCAGAAAGCAACGGGAAAACACTCGACTATTTTTCCCTTGCAGTTGCAGAAACGTAAGTGAAATAACTTTCTTCAGTCTAAGGATGTGCAACATCTCCATATCCCACTCGTGATAAGAGAGGTCAAAAACCATTTCTCATTTATGACAACCGGATATTTTAAAAACTCAACAACAGTTTCATATGGTGAAAAAAAAGCCCACTTACGTACACGTACTTTAACAATAGTAGACCAACAACCATGGACTTCACTCGATAGAAGTGAATATATCCCAGCGATAAAACGTCTCAACAAGATCTATTAACGTTGCACCTGGTAAGGATGGAACCCACGACCCGATGATTGTGAGCTGATATACAATTAGAATATATTGTTACCATTACAGCGACGATCCCCGAAACTCAATTACCGAACAAATATAAACAACATAAGGAAATAGAAAAACATCGTTACATAATTACATATTCAATAATTTAAAAGTGTGTGTGCCACTACGGATCCCAATATGTTGTGACCGATTTCCGATAAATACAACAATTATCGAACGCCCTGATTGGCATTTGTTTGGTGAAATTGCGGTGAAACGCTCCTGGAAAATAAAACGCGGAGTATATGAAGAACCCCATTTCCATAATATTATGAAAATAATGTAGAGAGTTCGCGATGCACCCCTTTCAAGCTCTAAAAGCTTTTGGCCTTAACAGGAGCGGTTACTTTCTTAAGATTCATTTAAACGTATATTTTATACTCATGCATTTCCATGCGCTTGGAATATAAATAACCGTTAGAAACGTGAAATGAATCACCTAATGAATCTTTAACTACGACCCGACGATTCGGAATGTTAGTAAAGGGAAGCAATTTTTCATACATCCATCGAAAAAGTATCGCAAATTGTTAGATCACTACTTTCTCATGTATCACGCTGTGAGAGATATGAGAAAAATAACGCGAATCCCCAAATACGCTTAAGTTGAGCATAGACACTGTTTTTAGGGTTCCATACGCATAGAATAGTAACTCTATTTATAGGACTTCGCTGCCTGTCAGCAGTTTGTCCATTGAGGTTCCTTATTATCCACGATATTCTACCATCTATACTAATATATAAAGCTGAAGATTTGTTTGTTTGTTCGTTGGAACGCGCGACAGGTTTGAAACACTATTTTTGTGTTGGTTAGAGCATTTATCCAGGAAAGATATAGGCTAAATCATCGCCATGTGACTGATAAAAGAGAAGATACAGCGTGAAATGTGAAAAAAATTGGGAAAATTATCATTATGGGTTACCGAGGCGTACACTGCAATAACGGTTTAAGAAACCAAAAAAATATGTATGAAAGAATGATTCCTGTTTAAATGATCTAAAAAAAGTCCGGTAAAGTATGTCTATTATAAAGATGAAGGAGTTTGCAAAAACGAATTTGAATGCCCAAAATGACTATTCTACGCGGACGAAGTCGTTGGCACAGCTAGTATTTCGACGAAATCTGGTTAATGGTTAATAATTCCTCTTAATGGTAATCTCCATACCACGGGTCTAGTAAATTAATTTTAAAAGGTAGACATATATTGTTGCGGACATTTTTTTAGACTATTAAAAAAGGAATATTTCGAACATATTTTCCACATGTCTTTGTTTTATCGTTCCTATCGGTTGCATTGAGCCTTAATATACTCTATTATATTAAGCCTCCCACGACTGGTGGTCCAACCAACACAACGATATTTTACAATTCAAACTAGAAACTTCTGAAATAAGCGCGTTCAAACAAACGTGCAAATAAACAAATCCTTCAGCTTTATGTAAGAGTCTGGAAGATGTTTGAGTAAGAATTATTTTGGATTTGGGCGCAATTTTGATAATTTAATAAAAATTACACATATATGTATCTCCATCCTATATTTACCTTATGGCGTAATAAACATACCAAGAATATGTCGGGAGTAAATCAATTAATTTGTGAATATTTTTTCCTTTGAAACGCCCGGTTGAAATACACATATTAACATGTTTATTTCAACCGGAATAAATAATATTTTCATTCTACGCGTTTACTTTGCTTCGTTAAACGTAATGTGTATGAATTTGCATATATTAAGGCCTGTATTCAAAAAGCTTTCATTTAAGTACAGGGAAGATTCAGCGTCCTATTAATTAACTTTATATTTTGAATGGGACCGTTTTATCTGACAGTTTTAGACTTGTAATCTTGCTAGGTCACGCAATGTTAGGATGTTTGGCCTCAATTCCATATATGTCCATTATAAAAGCAAAATATTATAATATACGAACGTTTTCCTTAATTTCTCCGTACTGCAATGGTCAGCATTATTTTAAATTCGAGGGTATTGGGTTTTCAACCCCCGAAAACTTAAGAATTGGGTCAGCAAGACACAAATGTCTCTTTGATGCCTTGACGTGCCTTGAAGAAGAAGTCAAGCAAGCGGCCCCGGTTTTCACCACTACTTTAGTGGCAATTATTGCAAAGACAGCCAACTATACCTAACATGGTCGGTCTTAGCTCTTAAACCTTTTTCTAAGCTAGAACATGAGCCCAACTGTAGGAGTTGCATCAGAAACAAACAAAAATTATACAAGTAATATTCAAACAAACTTTCTTTCAACATCAAATTAACATTTGGTAGTAGATTAATATGACTTATAAAAACAGCGGAACGACAATAATTCTCGTGTAAAACCGTAATCTACGCGTAATATGTATAGAATATAGAAAATACCTAAGTACATTCTTAGAAATAATTCCCGACCAGTACGATATCAATAACGATAATACGTATTTTGTAAATACATTTTACGCGTTCGTAAAGCTTACCGTACACAACTCTGTATTAAAGGGAATGGTACACTTTAAATAAAAACACTTTTAACGGTTTAAAACGCGAAATATAACATTATGATGACTATGTTGTTTATTTTGTTATTGACGCATATAAATTCAAAGAATAGAGTGATTCGTTCTTTCATTTTCCTTATAATTACTACATTCCCGTTACTATACCTAGGGGATGCCCCGCTATAAAGGTAGGTTAACACTTAACTTGCTTTTTTTAAGCAAAAAATCATATTTAGAAATTTACTGTCAGTGCTATACTTTCTAAGATCCTTTTGCGGCTATTTTGCCAAGTTGGGTGCTCTTTGATATCTCCTGATAATGACATCGTGACGTAATGGAAAAACGTCGAGAACAGTTTCTCGTCACCACGCCATTACGTTTCGTCGATTACGACGGCCAAAGAGCTCGAAAACCTAAGTAGCTTCACTTTTCAAAATAGCAATTTATTTTAAAATAGCTTAAATATATAGTAAAATATTTTATGATATTTAACTTGATTAAAGTTATTTCATATTATCCGTAATATACGCGAGCAGTACATATTTAAATAAAACACTTAACGGGTTAAAACGCGATATATCTTAGTTAAACGTATTTTTAAATTATTTTAATCACGGTCCGACGTTTCGTTTTATTTAAAGTTTGTAATTAATAAAAAAAATATTTAGATCGAAAAATGACTTGAACCGGCGTCTACACCGTACCGCGCTGCTCCTCTAACTAATTGTGAAATATCTTTCAGTCTATCGACTCTATGGATATAATAGTTTTTTAATTTATATAATATCATGATGTGCAACAACATGATCAAATTATGAAGTTATTAATGGGTTTTTCCTAGCAGTATTTCACAAATGTACGCTCTCCCTTAAAATGTTCATTTTAGGTATTTATGAAATAAACATGTAGATCGGGAGTTATCAGTAATATTGTTAGTGTTGCTTTGAACTCGATGCACCTCACCAGTTGATAAAGTAAGTTATTTTTATTTATTGAATTAAACTAATATTGCTTAATAGTTGTTATTGCGGCTTACTTAAATTGTTTTTAAAGAAAACGTAATTTATGTACTTGCGTAACTCGTAAATATTTTCAACCTAGTCCATACATAAGTCAGTCATTCAATGATGTCAGAACAATAATTATAATTTTAATTACATTTAAATTAAGTTTGTTCTTATACCACTACTTCTTGACACCTTGTCCAAAAGAGAAATGTTTTGGTGACCTATACAATAGGACATAATCTGCAGCACGTAGATTATAGATCTGAATACATTGTTTAGTTTAGCCCTTAATAATAGTCTTAGAAAAGATATGATTTCTTTGTTTCAGATGCATCTACTATTATTGTTGACGATAACTTCATATGCCCATGCGCGGTATGTCGACAACAATTGCTCTGGTGTCATTCTTCGTAATGTGAATCACGAAAAAGAAGTTTTGAAGGCAGACGTAGGTAGCCCTTACCAGTTGGCCATGGATTACGATACTAACACTCTATTTTTCAGCTATTCGACGGAAGATGAGAACGTTTTCAGATCTGCCTTTATAAATCTTAAGACAAACGAATTCGCTAATATTCCTGGTGTATCTGGAGGTTTCGCGAATGCAGTAGATAGCAGAAAACATATTGTATACATCGGAGGAAGAGATGGTATTTATAAATTTGACTACGATACTAAAACAGCTAGACATCAATACACCACAGACAACATTTGGCAACTATTCTATAAAGACAGGTTGTACTATTCGAGATATCCGGATGAAAAGGCATTCGTGTTTACTGATGGTGATTTCAAATTGGTCCCCGAACTGGCTGATACACGAGCAATGCTGCTAAGCGTAGACAATTACGAGAACATCTACTTCTCAAATTCGTCGGGTTTGTTTGTTCATAAAAAAGGCAACGGCGAAGTAATTAACATAGGAGAGTTTGGAGTAAATGGCTTTACAACTGATTTTAATGGTAACGTTTACTTCTCTACACCAAATGCTATTTACAATATAGATGTTAACGAGAAGAAAGTAAAAAGAGTAGCAGCAGTAGATAGCATCTACGGGGTAGCAATTGAAAGTGATGGTGGTATAATTTACGCGTCTCACGATAGCGTGATAAGGTTAAAATCAACTGGAACCGTCTGTCCGGGAACTGACGTTGAAAATGTTTCTTTTTAACCTAAATATGTCAAAAAAATTTAATAAGCTGTGATGTTATTTATGATCTAAGCGCTAATGAAAGTGTAGCATTTAGCCTAAATTCTTCCTCCTTCGTATGACCTTTATTAACCAAGAAAATTTGTCTTGTCAAATGAATAGGACGCTTCTGGCGAGATCAGCTTAATTGTGAAGAAAATTAAGACAACTTAGCCTTAATATCGAAATTTGTTTTTCGCTTTTCTCATGTGGCCTGTTTGTGAATTTTGTAACTACTGAAAAATTTTAAACTTTAATATTTTGCACATTGACATAATCGTGTTAAATAAAAATTAGATTGCACAATAGGTTGAAAATATGAAGTGAAAAGGTAGTATTGGTGAGGATTAAAGGAGAATTGGGTAATCGTATCATATTAAAAAAAAATCTAAACTCGATTTTTAATTTATTTATTTGAGGTTTTACATTTTTATATAGGTTTTTTTATTTTTCTTTTAATTAAATTATATTATGTAAAATATTGTACTTCTTTTTACTTAAAATTTATAAGACTAGATACTTAGATAATCAATAAATTGTTACTAAGTACGTTTGAACACATTTTTTAAATGATCATTGTACATGTTAAAAGCGATTACATTTTGTGTTTATATATTGTATTAGTGAAGTCACCATGAAATCATTACCAAGAAAACATTTGCTAATAGGCAATTATGTTTCTTGCTGAGGAGCCGGTAATTATTTTGTCTAATAAATAACGTCAAAAGAAATGAAAGCACTTCACTTATTATTTGTTGAGATTTATCTCAGCTTATTTCAAGTTTCTTGAAAACAATATTACAAATACCGATTTTTGTTTATCTTTACTCGTACTTTGAGCTCTATCATTAATTGTAAATGGCCCTACATTCGAAAGACAACACGGTTTCTAAATAAAATACTTTAACGGTTTAAAACGCAATATATACAGTTAAACTTATTTGAAAATTATTGTAACTACGGCCTAACGTTACGGATGCTTTGCAGCAGCCATGGTCACGGGGAGATCCGTAAGTTTACCTAATATATATCGCGGTTTAAACAGTTACAGTGTTTTATTTAAATGTGTACAACTCGCATAAACTACAGACAGTATTTAATAACGGCTTCTGATCTATTACTTGTAAATTATATAATTATCAGTGATTACACAGAAAGTCGACAAAACTGTGTATAGAGATTTCACGTACGCTCTTCTATAATATTTATAAATGAATTAAATGTATGATTATTACAGATGCGAAGCGTTTTAATACACAGTCCTCCGCGCCTATTAAAACTAATTAGCTATATACAAATCATAGGAAATATGTTGCCTTAAGCGCGAGAAGTTTCTTTTGGGCGGGGCACAGAAGTCTGATCAACTATTTGCCTGTAAGAGAACAGATCAGTGACACAGAAATGTGTTCACCTCAAGTCCCACGAAGAGAGGCGTTTTTCATGAGGTTCCTATTCTAATGTTAAAAATTACGTTATTTTTACTTACTTATTATGTAATAGTGGGTTAATGATAAAAATAGTAATCACTACATAATATAAAGGATGTATATATATATTTTACATACAAGAACGCGCTGCTCACTGATTTTAAACGGTCGTATGATTCCAAACGCTTATTTTCCAGAGAGCTTTATGAATAATTCTTTTGTGTAGCCGTCTTTTTTCACTACACTTGATGAAAATTTCATTGCCTTTCTGAAGACGAGCCAAGGCGTGTAAAATTAAAAAATGGGTTTTTACATTTACATTTTTATATAGTAAAACGTTCGTGTGTTTGTAAAAATAATATGTAAGTATTATACAAAAATGTTTTTTTTATGTCTTGCATTTTATTCATTCATGTAATTGTGCAATAAACAGTTCAAACTAATTCACACTACAGTAAAAATTGCTACTTAGTGAATGCGTTTAGATAACTATTGGGAGTTATCTAAACGCTTAACAGATTGTAGTGAATGACAATATGTTAAGCGCGGAGAGTCTTCGTTTCGATTTCCGGGGATGCAATTTATTTGGTTAGTATAACCTGTTTCCCTTTTCTAGTGAATTCCGTTTATAGAGTTCTGTGCCATGTCAGACCGAAACAAAAAATTTAATTTACTTGAACATGTTGAACTTTGTCTGGAAATCTAGATAATAAAAGGAGAACATAGAAATTTCCGTCCGGGTCACGGACCACAAAAAAGCCGTGAAGTTTGAATTGTGATTTAGTTTCAGTGTACCGACTTACGAGTATCCAAAGCCAAAATAGGTCGATAGTGCATCTTCTTGCGATGTTACATGGCTGGGTTTTTTCACCTTCCATCAATAGAACTCAACGTTTTCTGAGAATCGAATCCAGGACCCCTCGTGCCTAACGCAATGCCAGGCATTTAACAATTGATTAACAGGCAAATAGTCACGGTATACCCAGCCAGTGTTCGTGGCATAAACGTGATTTATTCGCGTTTGTTTTACTTAGCTGGACCAACCCATGTTTGTTCCAGACTGTGATAGACGGTCCAACGCACGCCCATGCTTACTTTTATATACTAATTAAACGAAGCCTACTTAATTAAATGTTACGAGAGTAATAATTATATCACTGTTTACCTCATTGTGAATTGGAAAAGGGATTTTAATTAAGCAGATTGGATCCGCGCAAAAGTTACGAAATATTTTCCGTAAACGTTTACTTTGTTAACGTAAATAAAAGTACGTTCAATTCTAAATTTAAAATTCAATTTTTATTGGAGGAATCAAACCCATGTTTATAGGTCGTGTCGTTAATCAGATATTGACTCAAATTACGATTGAACGACATTCCACAGGTAGACATAAAATTTTCTATCAATTTATAAATAACCCGGTGACACGGGCAGGACTTGAACCGACATCCACAACAATCTTGTTTTAATAATAGAGGAAGATACACGAGCATGGGGTTAAAACATTTATCGAGGAAGCTATAAAAGATGGCGCTGTGTTTAATAGGAAAGAAACAGTGGGAAATGGGATTCGTCCATTGAGATAATGGTTTAAGATACTCGAAAAATGTGAATGAAAGAATGATTCCTCTTTAAATGATCTAAAACAAAGACCACAATACTGTACTATGTCAATCGTTTAAGATTAACAATCAAGATTTATTAAGAAGACGTTTGCAAAAACAAAATTGGATGCCCAAAATAACTATTCTACACGGATGAAGTCGCTGACACAGCTAGTCTTTTATAAAAATAAAAAATGTTAACTTTTCTCACTAAGCCTAAACTTAGCTTAAGGTTAAATCTAGCGTTGTACTTTAATTTGTTTGTGTAGTTCCCAATCGACAGAGAATGTATTCACTAAATAAACTCCACAAATGAGACTAACGCTTTCCAAGCCAAAGCGAAGGAGGCTTTTTAAGGAAAAAAGATCTTTTACGGAATTTAAGGGTATACTAACGTATCTAAAAAGTGCGCTGGAAAATTACGTTAAACTCAAATGCGAATTGAAGGCATTTTAAGAGGTATTTTTTAGCTTTTTTCTGCCGCATTGCACTCGACTTTTACTTTAATATGCTTTTTTATTATAGTGGAGGATACTCAAGTATGGAGTTCATTTCATGGTAGGCGAAATACCCCAGGAATATAGCATCTATACGTCTATACGCTATTGATCTATTTTGCATTAGTTCTTCGGAAATCCAAAGTTCCCGGACGGAATTCCAATTTTCCTACCACTCATTTAATTCATTTTACAAACCATAAACTATAAAGTTACAATAATTTTGGTATGGATTTCAAAATAAATGTGTACCTCAGTTTATTTTAAAGCCATCGAGTCGCTTTAGTAAGTGAGAAACCAGAAAAAGTTAAATTGTCAAAGTTTTAATTGATGTTTTCCTCGTAGGTACATTTTCCTTAGTTTCATTCAAATTGACGTCATTCCTGAGATTATTTTTATGAGAAGCATTTTCAGGGGAGCAATAACGGTAGACAAATGACATCACGGTGATATGGCGGAAAGGTGATGTAATTATGGCGATAAAAATTATTATTGGATCCAGATATAAGCTAACTTGGCATACATCGTATAAGTATATCTTACGATATTGTAACACATGATAAAACACAAGAACGCCAATCAAAATCTTTTTATTGATCAACAATGATGTCCCATTTTATATTTTCTGAAGCCCAACTGATTTGTCTTTGCCAAGCTAGGTTTTCTGGTGGAAAACAATAGAAATAAACTAAAAAACAAGGCAAAAACTTAGTCTAAGTTTGATAGTCCCAGTCCAGTTTATAATAATATTTTAAATGAAACACTTTGGTTTAAAACGCGATATATATTCGTTAAACTTACTTGAAAATTATTTTTGCTTTGCAGCAGCCGTGGTCACGGGGAGACTAGATTAACTAATACATATTACATTTTAAACCGTTAAAGTCTTTTATTTAAATGAGTACTACTCGCGTAAACTACAGAGAGTATTTTACTTTTTTACAGTAACGTCAAACGTCAAACCAATGTCAAAGTTGATTAGAATTTACACAAGTGAGATTTAAAACACACAACACAACACTAAGTAATTTTAATTTTTAATAACTTTTGACATTTACATCCTGTTTTTAACAAATTTTTCTTCATTTAAAGTAATTAAGCTTATAATTAAGACTTACTGTGTATATTTAGTTGTATTAACTTGGATTGATTTTAGTCTATTTTGGCAATACGAGTCGGTTTAAAAAATGTAGCGCTTATACAAGTATTAACTAATACACCAATTGTTAAATATTAATTGATTTCATAGAACTAATCAAAACTATTCATTCATGTAATGAGTGGCAGGATTAATTACGGCTCTGAACATTCAAACACTTAGCATATTGATATGAATAGGAATAATTTGGTAAATATAGTATCGTTATTATTTCATGTACGTTACTTTATTAATCTGACCACTGCGGTAGTGTTGTTAGTATCGTAGCCTTAGATAATTTTACGTAGGAGCTAAATATGGATTAAGTAGACATCTGTCCCAAGTAATTTCTAATGGGGATTTTATTTACTTTGTTTTATTATGTTTTGGTGACAAAAATACTGAATTCCTTTTAAATAAAACACTTTAACGATTTAAAACGCGATATATATTAGTTAAAATTATTTGAAAATGATTTTAACTTCTGCATCGGCGAGACTCCCGGTGACCGCGACCAATTTTTAAATAATTTAAACTAATATATATCGCGTTTTAAAACGTTAGTGTTTTATTTAAATGTGTACTACTGGCGTAAGCTACAGATAGTATTTCCCGAAATTCTGTCCACAGATGAAAAAAAAACGTGAAGTTTAATAAACTTTTGGTTTCAGTCTGTGAATTTGTAAATATCTAAAGCCACAAATAGATCGACAGCACATCCTCTATAGACCTTATAAGACTGGGTTATTTTATTTATATCAAGTGACTTGACTATCCTAATCTGTCATAAAAAAGCCCTATTAAATAATGTTCAAAATTAATATGAGCTATATCTCACAACCATATATTCTTGGCTAAATGCCATATAATAATTTTAAGCTGCACCTTTAAATATAACTACAATATTTAGATGAATCTATACTCTCTAAGATTTTGTGCTTGTATTGTAAAACGAAAATACATTTTCACCAAATGAGATTTGATATGTTTTTTTATTTGTTTTTCAATTCAACGTCATTGTATATATGTTTTTGTTTTTGTTAACAGTTTGTTGTTGTGTCGTTAATTACCTTAGTGATTACTTAATTACCTGTATACCTTAAATTATTATTATTTTTCTTTCTTATGACATATAAACAATTACTGTTTCACTTCAACATCATTTTACGTTTAAAGCTCTTTCAAGAAGGTCGGACCTCTTGTCAATTATTATGAGTAAAGGTGTTGATATGGTCTCAAACAGTGTGGTAGAAGTAATCGAAAGTGAAATATGTGATGAACCCGTATTCGATTCTCAATATGACGACGATTTATATAATATCTGTGAGTCTTTTGAAAGGTATGTAGAGTTTTATATCACGTATTAAATACTATATGTATACTAGTGCAGCCGTGGTCACGGGGAGACCGTAAAATATGTCGCGTTTTAAACTGCTAAAGTTTATTTAAATTTGTACTACTCGCGTAAACTATAGACAGTATATAATAACTTTGTAAGTAGCTACGACGATTTTCATTGATTTTTTCGAAATACACCGGAAGAATCTAGCCGCTCACGACACAGGGAAGTATATATATAAAAAAAAATGTTTTTATGTTAAATTGATTGTTCCTGTCGGTCATTGGACGTAAACATTTCTCGGTCTGTTTTATTGATCGATTTTATTTACAGGAAAGTAAATTGATAGACTTTTTTGCCACGCCCGACCGAAACAATACATTGTTTCTCCGGTATTCTAACTCACGATCTCTCGTGATGTTATCCTTGATAACACATTTAATTGTAGGGTTACGGTAGTCTAAAATAAATTTTGGAGAGCAATAAGATTGTCTTGATGGAAGCACAACTATTATAAAATAATTTGTTGCAGTATGGTTTTAGAAAGATACTGAAATGAAATATTATTAATGTATATTAAGATTTCTTATTTTATGTTTACACTACCTGTACTATGTTGTTTTAAGTTTAGCGTATTGTGTGTTGCAGTAAGACGGAAATTGGGCCAGTTCCTGAAAACCTAGTCAAAAGAGCTGCTGAAGACGAACCCAGTAATAATTCAAAAAGACAAAAATGTGACAACGGAGATGTAACAGATGCAACTGCGGGCGACGAGAAAGTAAAATGTCCATCATGTCAAATTCTGGTTCGAAAGAAGTACTTCGCGACGCACTCAAGAAGCAAACTGCACAAAAGTAATGTTTCAAAATTGCATAACACGATCAAAGTGTGCGTCGAGTCAGCTTGCGGTAAGCGAGTTATTTCATACAAAATGAACGAAAAAAGCTTCGACCACTTTGACGCGCCGGAAGTATTTTTGAACTCGGTTAAAAACGAAATCATGGTTCTTATACAGAAGTCTATAGAAAAATATACAGTATTGAAGTAAATTCTTCTAAATTTGAAATTGTAGAATAATTTTAAGTTTCCTATTTATTAAACTGTAGAGTAAGTGCATTTATGTAGAACTGTAAATAAATTTATTAAAAACATTTTTTTTTTCTATTATTTATTTGTATGTTATAATTATTTATTATTTGTTATATTAAATAATTCATACGATACCTTCACCAAGTTTACTTTGGAAATGTAAAAAAAACTGTATTTTGTAATAGAATTCGTTACACGTTCTCAAAAATATATAAATGTCGGAGAAAGTTATTTCCGACACATCAATATATTTTTTTAAAAAAAAAAGTAGTATTATATTTTATATATGTAATCTCCAACTTATCTGATTAATAAAAGTTAAATCCCGTTTCGCCCTCATGGAGCATGGGGCGAACACATTTCTGTGTCCGTTTCACTAATTCGTTCTTTTAATCGGCAAGTAGTTTATCAGATTTTTGTATGGAACCCAGGGCATCTCGCGCTTGACGCAAATATAAATGAATTTAAAATGATTTAAATAGTTCTGGTGTGAAATTTGTGGAAATTTCTTATATTACTAATATTATTATAATTATCGGTTTATAGGAAATATATAAGTGCATTAATATTTTTCGCGTTTTAAACCGCTAAAATTGTTTTTAATTTAAAGGTGTAACTGTCAATAATTAAGGAAATACATTTGAGAGTAAGTTTTTGTTGCAAATTGCATAGGTGACGTCCCGTTAAAATCTAGCATATATATATGTAACATATATATATATATATATCCTTAATCTAACATAACCAAATTACACGTATTTCGGCCATTTGATCGATTGTTGCCATAAACCGACTGAACATTTCGCGATCACCATTTGGTATTCAAAGGCCGCCGTCAAAGTTCCTGAAAAGGAATATCTAATTTCAGGGCACGGAAGTAAAGCTGCCGTTACACTAGACGTGAATATTAAGAGGCGAATATCCGGAATAGTGCAGACATTATGAAAATTCACTCGAACCGAAAAATGAGAATTGCATGCTCCACTTGTTACTTTCTTAATGGTATTTAAAAAGCAGCTTTAATAGCTTCAGTAGCTCAAGCTATTGGAAATGCATTCTAGTGCTTGAAGGCGAATAGTTGTGATTCCCAATAGATGTATTATAGTTTTACAGGAATAAAATCAATAAACATTTTTTTAAATTGAAATTGCATATTTATTTATTACTTAACGAATAAATGAGAAATTACATTAATATTCTTAGTGTTGTTAAATAATATTTTTCACATGTTATACAATATGATTGGCACTGTCATGATGGCACTATATAAAAAAAAGTAAAATAAATTGCAAAATGTCCTGCCCGAGTCGAAATTTTTTTCAAATTATTTTCGATTTTTAAATTATGTTGTTAATAAATTAATTAAAAGGTTTTTTAAATATATTAACTACATAGTGAATATTGTTTTTGCCACTTCAAGAACTTTAAGTTGTAAACACTATAAACAATAATTTCTTGAAACCTAGAGTTCTTTTGTTCGTTTATAAATGTACAAATAAGCAATAGAACAGAAAATTATGAGACAGACGTGACCAAAGATTAACGACGTGAGGTTCTAATGATCTACATGTTGGCTAAACGTGCCAAATATATATCACGTATACTTTAAAAGTACGAGCATATATTGTACTAGCTGTGTCAGCGACTACGTCCGCGAGATTCCTTAGTTCGCATTCAAACTCTTTCATTTTTATAAACTTAAGCTGTTACCCACGACGTCGGTCGCGTTCCTTCCCGTCGTTCTTACAAGTTTGGATTTTTTTTAAGATCATTTAAAGAGGAATCAATCTTTCATACATATTTTTTGGGTATCTTGAACCGTTTTTGCGGCATGATGAAATTTTACCAAAATTTTTCACATTTCTCGATGGATATTCGCTTATATTAGTTACAGCGATATTTTATAGCCTATTTATTGCCTTCCTTAATAAATGCTCTAACCAACACAAACAAGTTTAATTCAAACCAGTAGTTTCTGAGATTAACGCGTTCAAACAACCAAACTCTTCAGCTCTATATATTAGATATATTTATTAGCAAGTTTTGATCAGATCACTGTGCTGAGTCTGACAAGAAAGTCTTGCTGTTTCCAGAGATAGCACAATGGCTTATAAACCAAAGCTAAATGTTAACACCGGCATAACTTACAATTTTGCTCATTGAATTTATTCAGCGACTAATAATTTCATTTCGGAATGAAAACCTCATTTGGGAATGTCAAATGTTTCGCCATTCGCCCGTTAACGCGTTGTGCATCGACAAGCGGTTGCATTTTCATTTCCGTTGCGAATGTGCGTTTCATAGTTTGTAAACAATCAATATCAAATACAGTACGTATTAAGCTGATGGGAACCCATTGGGCGTCATATCGGGCTACAACTTTGATGAATGTTCGATATCAATCAAGCTTTGTTTACGAAATTTCCTTATACGCCTGAATACGAGGATTGGGGACGCGAACTACGATATTTAAGGCGAAGACTTCCGCCCGATTTTATCTCGGCGTTCGCATCGCTGATCGCCGTTGAAAGTAGGTAAATTAACACATATAGAAACATCAAAACAAAAGGCCATATGTGTAGTGTGTAAAAGAGATAACGGTCTACGAAGCCGAAATTAGCCGATTGTCTCTTTCCAAAGGTCGATGTACAATATTTATCGCTAGGTGCATTCGTTTTAATTGGTAAACGCCTCGGCGTTTGGATAGTGAATTTTTGCGTACGAGTACTGTAACCAGATTATAAATAAAACTACTAGTCAACAAAATATAACAACTTCGATTCAATAATTTTATTAATGCAAGTTCACTTAGGCACTTACACCAACTAGATTATATGAAATCGCAATAAATTTAGAGTTTGCTAATTTTGTAATTTTAATGTACTGCTATATGTAATCTTACCAAATGTACTTCTCGTTTATATGATAGAAGACGGTCAGGCATGGTTTAGAAGGTGAAATACTCCAGAGATAGGTATATAAATAACATCTAAGCAATTGTGCCTTAGATATTTAGATAGATAGAATTTTCCGAAAGTAACTTGTGTGTAAGCAATTTTTTCCTTTAGCAATTTTTCGAGAAGAGGCTATTTCTTGAGTCAGTGTATAGGACAGTGTATCGTCCTTCTAATTCAGCTTATAATTTTACCTAAGTCTATATAATTGTTACTTGAACGACCAACATCGGTCTGTGCTGAAAATGTTCGTTCGTTCGTATTTAATCACTATGCAACGTCATCATAGTTGTAATCACCAGTATTGCAACTGGCCTTTCATTTCCTCCCCCTGACAGATGGAAATTGCGAGTTCATCATCACACGAGTGACGGGGCCGTTGGGAGCGCGATTCGTTTTGTTCATTTTCCTTATCGTGGCATATTAGAACTGGATTGATGTGGACAGTTGGATGCAATAAGCACTTGTTAACAAGGGAAGAGATGATTACATTTTTCGTCTTCAAATGGAATGGTTATAAGCACTGGTATAATTTATTAGAAAAAAGTTCTTTCTATTAAATATTTCTAGATATGTACTTGGTATCTTTCGCACATTGATTCGCTCTTATTGGTCGCAGCGTGATGTTATATATAACCTAAATAAATGGTCCATATGAGACAAATGTTTTTTTTTTTAATTCGGATCAAAAGTTTTGACCAAACTTTTACTATTTTAATACGTTTATAATATTAGTATAGATAACATTTATTGCTCTTATTGTATATATAATTGTGTTGAATTTAATATAAGAAGTAATTTAAGAGTTTTAGAGAGAAAAAGTGAGAGAAAAAATTAAATACTGTCTGTAGTTAAAACACTTTAACAGTTTAAAACGCGATAAATATTAGTTCGATTGGCGTTTTAAACCCTTAAAATGCTTTATTTAAAAGAAATTTAAATGTTTGTTAGGCAAATTTGTCCCTCAATTCAATTGTATAGACAAAGTCCACTTTACGTTCAGTTCATATTATAACATAAGACTAACTAACATACAAAATGAATAAATTAGTTAATAATAAAGAATATTATTATTTGTTTATAAGTAAGATATAATATCGAAATTTCACGAGTTAAGTGCTTCGCTATCTATAAAACAAACTAGTAAATGGAGTGTTCGCAGAATAAATAAATTGATTATATTTTTATTCATAAGAACAACTGAAGTGTGGCGCGTTAAAAGTAAAATGATGTAAGAACTTATATCCTAAGGGACCCTTTGTATTCGCGGACCCGGCGCGTAGCGGGGACTGGGGCGTTGGAAGGCTTTCACGCTAAAATCACGCTTCACAAGAACTTAAATGTACTCGCACAGTTAGTGTCTCGTAGTGTTAGGGGCGTTAAAACACTCGTATCTTAGTTGTGTTAAGAAATTTCAGCTCGCTAAATTATTTCCTCTAGACACTATTTCCTCTTCATATAATCCTAGTAATGTGTAAACATTACACGGCCTACTTATACTAATAGCTTTTATATATACGAATACGCCAAACAATTTAATAAGTTTTTGTAAAACTGATGTAAGGCACTAAATCCATACTAATATTATAGAGCTGAAGAGTTTGTTTGAATGCGCTAGTCTTCGGAAGTACTGGTGCGTATTTATTTTACGTACTCAATCGGTCATTTTGTGATACACTATTTATCAATATATGCTTAAGAATAATTATCATCACGCTGTGAACTATAGAAAAAGGTGTTAAGTAACAGTGGATAGGGTAGAAAAAAGGGTGCAAAATCATTGCATTATTACCAATTATTTGACAAACTCGTATCAACATATTAATGTTGCAAACAACAAAACAAACATTAGCTAGTTTAATATCGACATTAATAAATCGCGCGAATTAAGATAAAGCTTTCTTATATATATATAAGTCAAGAATGTTCCATATCTAGAAGCCTATAAGATAATCCAGGAGTAAATCCATGGTGGCCTGATAATCGAACCTTCCTAGAACAGTAT